ATTAAATAGATTTCTTATGAAATAAAGGGAAATGATAATGTGTAGCAATGGAAGCAAATTACTGAAAAACTAACCAGCGAGACCCAACTTCATTGTGGGTCTGTACACCCTATATATTTCAGGCGTTGGCAAGCTGATTTTTCTTGGTTAATTCAGTATGGAAACTTAGAGGTGGGACAACATACGCTTCTATATGACCTTATATTTATATGACCTTATATTTATATGACCTTATATTTATATGACCTTATATTTATATGACCTTATATTTATATGACCTATATATTCTATATATCTAGATTTGGTAAAAATCGGCGTTCGTTAATCGCTGTACATACCTTACCACTTAACCAAATTATTAAGTTAAGATTCGACGAACAAATTAACGTTCTTTAGCTTCTTAAATAAAACGTTTTTGTTTTCATTTCGATACACCGTTCAGGAGTTATAAGTGAAGAAAAAGAAATTAGGCTTTTTTGGCTGCAAAAAGTTTTCCTTAGTGGCTCGCTTTAGCAATTTTGTTTATTTACAAGTTTAAACCCATAATTGTTATAAATGAAATGAGTATTTAGGCAATTATATTTATTAAAATATATCCTATATCACAGAAAATCAAGAAATAAAAGCTTTTGAAACAGTTGATTGTAGTCATTTTTGCAAAAAACCACCGGATAGAAAAATCACATCATTTCTTTACACAACTTGAGGTGAATCTCAAAATTTTTCCTGATAAACCTCAACTTAATTAATAAATAATGAAAGCTTATTAAACGAGAAAGTTTTTTTTAAAAGTGGGGTAGATGTAGTACAGTTAAAGGGTGATTAAAAAAAAAAATCACAAATAATCTGTCTTTTTTTTTTAAACGAAACATAGCTGTTTGCCCGCTCAGTAGTCCTCTTTAAATAGTGTTAACAATGACAAACTCTACTTTCTTGTAAAGTGAATTTTGTCTAGTTTATTATGGAGCAATGTTTAGTTACTTGAATAAAATATTTTCTATTCTATGGCTTCCTATTCAACAAAAAACGTGACTCGCTTAAAAATAAACAAATCTTAAATTTTCCTACTTTTCTGATAAAAATCAGTCAATTGTTTATATGCACTTTTTTGTAGATCTTGATATCTACTATCAACCTTTTAAATATTTCCCTCTACTTACGGGACACCCTGTATACATAAATTACATAAAATATGGTGCATGACATGTTTAAGTTCTTTAAAAATCGCTATGTTCTATACTTTTATACGCATAAAACAAAACGTTTTATGCATAATAAATATACCATGGTGACACTTGTTTCTAACGTAATGCGGGGAAAAAAGGCGTTTTTAACCGTTACATTATAAAATTACTGGAGTGAATTCATCTCCTTAAATATAATGTTCCGTTTCTTATCATTCTAAGCCATCCTAGACCCAACAACTTAATATCTTTGTCTGATTAAACGGCAAAGGATTCCTAAACACGCCTTTTTTCCTCACATTCATGTCGCCCTTTTCTACTGATTTTATCCCGATAGTGTCCAGCCATAACGGGAACCAAGTCTTCGAGGTTCTTTAAAACACTCAAAGAACGAGCTATTGTTAATCTTTGTGTACTTTCCTAAATGATAATTTTCGAACAAATACGTTAAGGTTGAACAAAATTAAAAAAATGTTTTGGAAAAATTTCATTATTAATAGTCAGTCCACAGGCTTTAGCACCAGTGAGGCGGTTGAGAGAGTAGCGCAGGGATTTGGGTTCCCCGCCTGATTGTATATATTGTATATAGGTATGACTGTATTTTCATGTTTTTAATTTACTTATATTTAGGTTATTTTATTTTTTATTGTACATAGTTTTTATTTATTATTATTTAGTTATTATTTTACTTTTGTTAATTTTTTTTGTATATCCAGTGTGAATGAGTTCATCTATCAATATATTGCCCCCGTGACAGAATATTATATCTCTAAATTAAAAAAATTAAAAATAGTCAGTAACATGTTTTTTTATGTAACGATCAAATAAAAAATAATTCAAAACAGATATATTCTGCAATCATTGGAAGTTATAAATAAAAAAAATTGCTTTCATGACAACGGACTTCAAATTTGAAATATACTTGAAATTCAATAATTCATCTCAGATATGATAATAGGTCAGGAAGGAAATACATCATCATTTATGAAAATTTTTACTGAGGAAGAAAGAAAACTATATACCAATAAAAAATTTCGCTCTTGGAAAACTGATAAATTATAAACATAAAAGATTGATGAGGGTCTAGGAGATATTTAAGTTAAACATTCACCCGTCGGGAAAGTTCCCAACTTAAAATAAGTCTGGGAGGAGTAATGAAAAAAAGTTGGACCCGAGAGAGCGGGTCGACTATCAGATATCAGGCAGTCTAGTTTTAAGTTCTGACCTAGATCCTGGCCGAAGTAGAGGTTATCTAGTAGACTGTTACGACCAGCTTGGGGGACTTTCAGCTTTGGCTAAGTCCTACTTTATTAGACCGGGTTAAGGTAGAGATCTTTGTTGTTAGGAGCTGAAGCTAAATTAAGGGCTGATAAACTGAGGCTAAATATAACAGAAAAAGTTTCATTGTTTCAAGATTATTTTTATTCAAGGCATTTATATCTCAAAAATAATTACAAAAACAGATGTATGCCGCTTATATGGACCACTATAACTTGATAAAACCGCACAGTCAAAACTGCTTGTATCATGCCTTCGACGATTTTACACGACTACAATTTGTATTACCAGGACTACTTAAATACACCTTATTAATTAAATTAAATTAATTAATTAATGAAAATAAAAAATGAAAATATTTTTTTTATTATCCTGGGACTGTTGGCTTGGTATCGAATGGTAGTAAAGAAGTACAGACGGCGGTTGGATGGATAGAGCCACTTAAACTTGGTGTAATACTGGGTTGTATGCATATCTCTTGAGATTCCGAAAACAAAACGTATTGCGCAGTTCATTAGGCGTTTAAGTTTGGCCTCGAATTCTCCCGAGTGTCCGCCGTACACCAGACAGCCATAGTCGAAGTGGGGGAACACAAGGGAGGAAACCAGGAGTTGACGGGATTTATATGGAAGGAAATAGCGGAGACGGTTAAACTGTTTCAGGGTTGAGATAGCCCAACGGGAAATTTCGGAGATGTGTGGTTTCCAGGAGAGGGTTTGATCGAATGTAACACCAAGGTTTTTTATGGAAGTATGGAATGAGATAGGTGAGTTGTTCAGGAAAAGATTGGGGAGTATTTGTATGGATTTGAGGAGTGGGGGAGATCCGATTAGGATGGCTTTCGTCTTAAATATAAAAATGTATGCATAAACTCAAAAGGAACGCGTGGTAAGAAAATAACAATCATCTTCTACCCAGAAAATAAATTGTGTTGATCTTTGAACTAAGTTCTGTTTATTTAATTTTTTTTTAAAATTAAACTAATTTTAGAAGGATGAATTGTTTCCCTTGATGAAATAGCGACGAAAACAAAATAAAATGGTTTAAAAAATAAACGTATCTGGGTTAGCAGTGGAAAATACGACCTCATTTTTTACAAGGCCATAAACTGGAACCCTTGTAAATTATGCTGAATAACAAAATATATAACCATTATACACCAAAGGTGGTTTAATTCGTTCTTCCGCGTGGAAGAGCAAACTTATTAAGGGAAATGGTTCTTTCTGGAAAATTAGACGGCAAAGGAAAATTATATTTTAATAACAGGAGGGCCTTTAGAAGTGTATCAAAACGTAGTTAACAGAGGAAAGTATTTCTAAGCCAGATATTTCTAAGCAAACATCTTTCAACAAAGCAGTAATTGAACTAACCGTAATTATCTGATAAGTAGTGTTCATCTCTTGGTCGCAAAACAAAATACAAGGTCCGCTATTGTACGAATTGTTTGAAGCAGTGTATTTCCCTCAAATAACCCACGAAAATACTGAGCGATAGGACGCATGTTCGGGCCGAAACATCGATTTGTAATAATAAAGACTAAACGTTATTTTGGCTGTCTACTGTTTTTTGAGATACAAAATACAGTCGACTGCCCAATATTTTATAGACCGCGGTACAGACTCCTTTTTATTAAATCATTTACAACAGCCTAAAACTTCGTGAAAACTTTATATTATCGTAATCTACAACTTTTTTAATTTATGAAAATTCTCAAAAATGTGACGTTTTCAATCTGTAGATAGATAAATGTTGTCTATATTATGAGGTAATAAAAACTCAAGGTTGTAATTTTTGATTGAAGAAAAGTTGAGACAAAAAAAGGGTGTTTCAGGATTATGTGGCAAAACTGAATATATGAACCAAGGACTTCAAAACAAAATTCCTCTTAAGATATGTCCGCAAACGCTTTGTTTAAAGATATTCCGACCTAAAGATTTTCATTTTTATTAATTATTTACGTTATATTAAGTAAATAAAACATATTTATTTGTTCCAACTACTTTATTAATTAAACGTAAACATTAAATTCATATTAAATTACAAAATAATTCAAATCTTTAGTTGTGAATATCTCCTAAACAAAGCGTTTGCGGACATACCTTCAGAGGAAATTTTTTTCTTGTTTTGAGATCCTTAGTTCATTTTTGCAGTTTGGCCACTTAACCCTGAAACGCCCTGAATAGGCCAAACAGCCCAATATTCTGTAAGCCATAATTTTTCTCGATTTAATTAAAGAGGACAACAAATGGTTACTCATGAGTTTTTAGTGCCTCAACGCCCTTAATTTTTAAAATTTGCGTAAATATTGCAGTTGCAGGTTACGATAAGATGAAACCATTTACGAAGTTTTAGCCGGATGTTAATAATTTGAAAAGGAGTCTATACCGAAGATTATTATTAAGTAATCTAAGAATTTTTTTTTTTTTAATGTCTAATAAATATAACTTAATTTATTATAATAATATAGAAGAGTCGCTGAACCACCGTACGTCAGCCCTCCAACATCCAGGAACTACGTCATTCGCTAATGGAAGCGGAATGAAGGACACACGCTTGCAAGATAATTGGACTATATTCGACACTAAGGACAGAGGTCTCATTACCGTACTGACTGGAAGCCGCTTATCCAAGGCACCTCATAGGATCCAGTCTCTTGCATCATTAAAACTATTTGCGGTAATATGGTACTTTACCATCAAACAAAAGTTCACTACAGGATGAATACCTGACCTTTAACAACAGCGAGGAGTCGTGGGATGGAGAAATGTTTTAAATTACATTTATTTTGGAACCATTCCATCCAATTCTTAAGCTAGAAAATTACATTTATTTTGGAACCATTCCATCCAATTCTTAAGCAAGAAATTCACTATTCTATATTGATTAAGACTGATTTCATTGAAATATTTTATATTTATTAGCCAGTTTAGACTTTTTCGTAAGTTACACTGTTCCATAAATCGAATTCTTTATTCATTCAATTACTACAATGATACTAGTATTTAAATTTTCCTGAAAACAAACATAAAAACGGACCAGAATTCGAAATTTCTACTGTAAAATCCAAAGTTTGTTTTATTGTATCAAGTAACAGAACCTGGCCATCATGGTAAAAACCAAGAATGTTAGTGTTAAAGATTATAGGGACATTTTTGACATGTAGCCATATCCTGATCAGTTTTCATCTTGGTTGTAAAGAAAATTTGAAATGGTGAGGTTCAGACCTTATGTTGAGTTGACATAGAATGACTATGCAATGAGTTTTTAATGGCAAATTTTTACGACAAAAAGCGCTGTTTTTAGTTGTTCTTTTTTTGTTATTCACTCATATTTTTTTTCTAAGTCTTTGAGCAGTATTTAATTGATTACTAATATTGAATGCACTCCTGTATATGTGTATCATTTTTTATTTTCTCCGATCAATCTACAGCCTAGAATATAGATTATATAACAATTTTATAATGTTTACAATACTATCATTGAACACATTAAGGGACAGATGTAAATCATTTATAGTAAATATTTATATGCTCTTTTATTATTATTTTTTTCATTAATTCAATGGTATGACAACACAAGTAATTTATCGTTCATTTCAAATATCATTTAGTGTTGCATAGTTTAGTATTTGTAGCAACTATTTTGCAGTATTATGACCATATTGCTCATATTACTTCTTTAATATATCTGTATAGTTATGTAAATACATCTGTTATTATCTAGTTTTTAGTGATTTTTTTATAGTAATATGTATTTTGGCCAGATGGTATGTTAATTTTTATGTACAAAATTGTTATTCTTAAGGGACTTTGTTTCAGAATAAAGTTGATTCTTTTATTCTAATCTTCTATTTAAATTTATTTAATTTAACTACAGTATTATTGCCCATGTATTGGGCAAATGACCGAATAACATGCTCCTTGTCACCCGCAGCCACAATAATATAAAGCATTGAATTGACGAATTCCTGGAGACAAAAAAGTATATATGCTTCCTCGAAGTGTATTGCCTTGAAACGGAAGGCTCAGCGAGATTCCTAGATATCTTGGCCTTATTAGTCTAATAGTAGGCTCCGATAATTGATCCTAATATTAGATTTGAAACAAACGATGAGGATCAACATCTCAAACGTGACTAACAAATATATACTGACCTCCTCCTCCTTCCAACAGTTGACCAACATATAACGATTATCAATTATTTTACACTAATTTAAACGATATGATAACAGATTAATAAGAGGCATAGCCAAAACTGACATACCTCAGAACATAAGGAGGAGACTAAAAAGGTGTTGGATGAGAGATCTGCTTACTTAAACAACCTAAGTAATTGAAACAAGTTAGGGAAGAGGTGCTGCTGAATAATTTCCTTTTCCCCCCATGCCCGTCATGTCAATATTTCCTGTACCTCTAGCACTTGCTGATTGTTAACAAAAAGTTGACAGGCGCAAATATATGTTTATAGGGAAAAAACACGTATTATTACATGTAATAAGATTTATTACACTCCTTTCAGTCGTTAGGCTGTTCCATTTGGAATGGACGTCAGTTCTCAGGCCTCCTTAAGAGATTAACACAAACATAAATAGATGGTAGGAAAACATCCTGTAAGACCACCCAGCCGAAATACGAGGCCTGAAGAATGTCCTGGAAGAAGCCGCAGGAGTAGGGATTCCCCAAGGACGATAAAAAGTGTTTTCTATCTCTATAATCCTCTATTTCTGATGATATCCGGTCCTGGGCCCTAGAGCAGCCTATTATTCCAATGGGATTTTTTTTTTCTAAATTATTTTCTTGATGATATGCCAGCGGATCTGACGTTCTCCAAGCCTAATAGCTGCACGAGTGCCGGATCTCTATAAGCAATCTTTTTTATATAATGTATTTATCTTTTTGTAAAAAACTAAACCTATTAATTTATAGTAAATAAAATTTATTTATGTAACTTAGGAATTTGTATTTTCAATTACTACAAATATAAATAAATTTAATCATTCTACCTATGAGTTAATAATTTATTTAACACAAAATATAACGATATATTTTTAAACATTTAATAATATTGTTTGTTTTATTTATAATTTAAGCCATCACGAAATCAGGAACTTAGTATTTTTATAATTTTTTCCATTAGCCCCTTCCTCGCCATTTATAGCATACCGGGAGAGAGCTTATTATATAAGAACAGCCAAACCTATTTTAACCTGAGTGGGAAGGCCGAAATTAATGTTGTGCCGAATTTTAACCCGCCTAGGAGGGATTTTGACCTCTAAATAAATGTGAACATATTTAGTAAAATCTCAGTAATTAAAAATCATTAATCTACATTCAATTATTCGCTTTCACTGTTTAAAAAACCCTTTTCAAGTCCTATTATTTTTGGAAATAATAGACTCTTGTAATGTTGTGGAGAGTAAGTAGACGTGCCTTTTATATCGTTTTCAAAAACCCCTAAAACATAATTATGGGAGATCTAGAAACCTCTGATATGTATGTAAATATTAATATTATTTGTTGTAGTATGCAATTTCAAAGAGTAATCCACTAACTTGTGGTGGGTAAATAGTCGAATGATCAATTACGAGGATGATATTTAATGGATTAGCCGACGTTTCGACACAAAAATGTGGGTCATCAACAGGACTATCGATCGGATGTCGATATAAGACCCTCCAAAACCAAGAGAAGTTGGATTCTTATTTATAAATATCCCTGATGATGACTCGCATGGTTGGGTCGAAACGTCGGCTAACTTAATAAATGTTATCGTGATTGAAATTCCTGACAATTTACTAAAATGATAACATGCAATAAATGTTAAGTTTTTTAAATTTATGGGTACGTAAATTTGTTTCTAGTATAAATTCAACCCTTCGATAATTTGAAATTTAAAAAACTATTGATTGTTAGTAAACATTTTAGGAAAATCTATTCAAGTTTCCTGAATTTCTGGTCCTTATGTCCATAAGTCTGTAGACATAGATTTTGAATTTAAAAGTAACCCTGCAACGTGCGTACTCTATGATCACACTTCAATCCACTGAAAAGAAAAAAATATTTCATGAACATGGAAAAAATACATCATAATTAGCAACCGATTTATAAAGAATTAACAACAATAACTATTTCAACAAAGATGTACTACGCGACAAACTAAACTCTTCGCCGTCCAGTGAACTATACAAAGAATATGAAAGCCAAGAATATAAGGACAATATCCTTAATGGAGAATATTGTGTTTCGTGCCTTAGCAGTAATGGGCCGATCCCTATTTAGCCAACATTACTTACCCTAAGGTCGATGGAATGAGATGAGTCTCATTACCTTAGTCCGCGGTCAGGGGATGGATGGGTTCGACAACAGAAGGGAGGGTAAATCGTTCCATTCAGGCAAATACTGATTAATAACATCAGAATGTGTAATAAAAAAAAATATCTTCCAATCTATAATCAACATGGATTCCTATCAATAAAGTATGCTTTCTACCTAAGAAACATAAGTAAGTATGTTACTTGCCTTCATTTGCATATTAACGTATCTACATGAGGTATAGACGAAATTTAATTATCTTATAAATAAGTTTTAATGAATATATTTGAGAGATGTATATATTATGAGCAAGGCCCGGATTTTTATGCAGTAAAAAACATATAATATGCAGTAAAAAATCTTGAAATATGCAGTTAAAAAAACATGAAAAATGCAGTACCTGGTCTCTAAATATAATAACCTTACTTGATTACTAATAAGGCAATAACGTATTTAAATATAATGACGTTCATCCAAAAAGTTTTGAAACGAAAAGAAATTATGGGGAAGGAGGTTAAAAATGACAATTATTTCGGTTGTTTTTTTTTTTAAATACCTAAACTAAAGACAGAATATAACTAAACATATACGGCTAATAAGGTTATAATATAAATTATAATGGTAACGGAAGCGTAACATGAATCACATTTAAAAAAAAATGTCTAGACACATAATTAAATAACCACAGTTATAAAATATAACAAATATTGAACGATAAGTATTTAAACGCTTTAAAATTTTGTATAAATGGATAAAAGCTAACATGGGTCTTTGTTGAAACAATAAAATAATTAACAAATTGTAGAATAAATAACGTAAAATAGATAAAACATTTGAATTAGTTTACATAGTAGGCATGTTTAGTATTAAAATTAATTACCGGGACGATTGCTAAACTAAATTTTCTTCTATGAAACCTAACCTTCCATAAAATATTTTTATAATTATAAAATAATCATTCTACATCAATAGGCGTGATAGGGACAAATTTATATCAACTTAGAATTCACTTTCCATCAGTTGTAAAAACTATTTCATGTCTGTTGTTTTAAAGTTCGATTCGCTAAGTTAGAATACACATCTTATCATATTAAATACAGACTAATATAAAGATATCCTTATCAGATATATAAAGATATACGTAGAGAAATATATTTATTTGATAGCAATTGATTAGCCTGATAGTGAATGGAGTAGAGAGAAGAGGTCCGTTTATTTTATCTCCTTTTCGTTGCCACTTAATGAAATGCTCTTGGCGATCTTCCAGGACGAGAATCAGCTAAGGGTCATTTGTCTTGTGGCGATATATATGTACTTTTCATTGTTGTTATTCTTTCCAGATCATTGTTTTATTATAAACTAGGA